CAATGTGCTTACTCACGTCAAAACTTGAAGTGGATGAAGTCGACACCGGAGATACATATGAAGAAGAGGAAGAAGCTGGAACTGGCTGAATAGCCTCCACAGCCTTCTTTGAAGCGTCCAACTCGAGCTGGCGCAGTCTCACCTGCGTATCAGCCTCGATTTCGAGTCTGCGTATCTGCAAACGCAAGTCAATTTCAGCCCGACGGGTGTGCTCTTGCGCATCATAATAAAGACGTGCCATGCGAACTTTCAGTCGCGCATCATCTCGTGAACCTATGGAGAATGGGGAGAACGGTTCAAACGGTGGCAAACCAACATTAGTATCAACAGCGGCCTCCACCCCTGCTTCTGCATCTGTACTGCCACTACACACGTTCTGATCTCCCATATCTAAAGAAGTCACCACCTCATCACCAAGGCTTGCATGATCAGCCGTCTCATCCATTTCAATATTTGGCGTGATAAGAACATTAAGCTCAACCAACTGCTCTGTTAACTTTTGCTTAATTTCAGCTTTACGATCCTGTCTGTTAACTACCAGTTTAAAATGATCAGCAATCAAAAACAAGTCTTGTTTCCGACAAACGTCAAGCAGCTCCAATGAAGGACTCTTAACAAATTCCTCTAAACTGAACATTTTAAATTAAAGTGTCGCGTGCTCAAAGTGCTGCCAACTGCTACTTCTGCAACTTACCTAAATGTCAACTACTATACAGCAATTTCTGTTGCCATCAACACAGCTTTTCTTTGGTCATTTTTTCAAAGATTATCATCTGATAAATTTAAGAAATATTAATTTCAAAAAATTACTTTTTAAAATTATTTTCTTGATGAATTCAATTTATTCCAGATGATTTATTTTATCTTACCTTAATTGATCTTATTTAATGTCTCAGATAAATATCCCGGACGAGCCCCCATTTCATGTTACAATCCTTGATGGCAATTTGTCTAGGGTATTAAAAGGAGTAACATAAAGATGACCAAAGTATAAACTGATGTTGAAAAATGGCAAAAGAAAACACCAAACAACAAATTAGCACCGCAAAAGATTTATTGCTCCCACATTATTTACAATATTTACAAACCATAAGATAAATTTGAAAAGAACCAAGACAAATAGGAGAGGGAACTGAAGTTTGCGCATGGAAATCAAAGAAATAAATATAACAAAAACATTCCCTTAATCTCCTCCCCAATCCACTAAATAAGAAAATAACAATATGAAAAGAAAAGTCTTCAGCGCAAAGCGCCCTGAACTTACTCTAACTAATAAATAAAAATACAAAATTAGCGCACTTCGCTAACTAGTGTGTCTATACATCAATAATCCTGCGTGCAAATATGTATGTCACGTGACTTACTATGTTGTTCCAGATCTCCCTTGTCAAATCACAGAAGGTTTTGAATGGAGCATTAGCGGGCTATAGATGTAGCAACACACGTCAGAACTCTCAAACAAATCTCACTCAAAGTCATCAGTTACTCACTCAAAGTCAACATCAATAGATCTCAATCAAAGCACACATCAGTAACAGCGACAACGCACACGGACACCACCAAACAGACAACACGCCAAAACAACAACAGCTGATCTCTCCCCGTTGCCGCTTCCGTTTTTAAAGGGCTCTGCAACGAACGCGATTGGCAGAGAGAGAAGTCATCGTCACATGGTTGATTAGGATTGGCAGTCCTGTCAGCCAATAGTGCTCCAAAGTAGGCGGTACCTGAGAAAATGACAGGGCCGGTACAGAGAGAGAGAGAGAGAGAGAGAGAGAGAGAGAGAGAGAGAGAGAGAGAGAGAGAAAGAAAGAGCATACACGCAGCAAAACTGTGCGGTTCGTAACACCATGTGTTTGCATTAAATAAACTACTTTACAAAACAGTTATTAAATGGCATAAAAGGGAAAAACTACATTACCCATGATGCCGTGCAGAAAATAAAATCTGTGTGTGTGTGTGTGTGTGTGTGTGTGTGTGTGTGTGTGTGTGTGTGTGTGTGTGTGTGCGTGTGCGTGTGCGTGTATGTATGTATGTATGTATGTATGTATGTATATATATCTATATATATGTATATATATGTAGCATGTTCGCCTAACAGCAAGAAGGCAAGAAGGTCACTTGCATTTTTGTGTGGAGTTTGCATGTTCTCCCCGTGTTCGCGTGGATTTCCTCTGGTTTCCCCCTCAAGTCCAAAGACGTGGTACAGGTGAATATGGATATTTTAGTAACTCTTTATCTTGATGGTCCTTATTAGGGCTGTACGATTAATTGAAAAAAGATTGCAATCTTGATTCAATCCTACACGTGATCTTAATTCAGCTTTTCTACGATTTAGCAAATTATATTTTCACGACATTTAACTGACTATAAGAAACTGCAAGTACATGTCAACTTAGACTAACCCTAACCCCAGTCTACTTATAATCTATTGAGAACTAGTGGGCATGTAGATGCAATGTAACTTAATTCAACAAAATGCGTTAAAGGGGCCATCAGAATAAAGTGATACCGATATTTTGGAGTAACAGTTTTACATTTTTCAGTCCTTTATTTTATTCAGCTGTGACATTTACTAAGGTTAGGATTGTGGTATTTTTTTTCTCTGAAGCAGTAAAGGACAGTCTTACTTTTATAAGTATAATTATTTGCATAAAATCATAGTTTGTAATGTAGTGATTCTCCCCATAGCTGTTTAGTTTGGTTAACAGCTTATAAATCTGGAAATAATTTTAGAAACGATGCTGCCATCAAAAAATTTAAGTTGACAAGAACATTAAAGAGCTACAAGTAGGCCCACACGAAAGCTGTGAACACATTTATATTTATTCAGTTTTTAAATTAATATCAGTAATATTATTATTGACTAATATAAAAACTTTCATATTATTTATTTACAATACAGTTTGTAAAGTAATATTTTCCGTGCTCTAGTAGATATGGGACACTTGCTTTGACTACCAAAAAAGTAGATCTAATTGAATTTGCATTGTAAACATTAAATAAAAGTTAAAAAGATATTATTTTTAATCACTCCTCATAAATTCACAGATTCTTTACATAATTTTCTGTAGAAATAGCAAGAAATGGCAGATTCTGTCTGGCCCTAGCTATAGGCAAGTTTTGTTTTTTTTTTTTGGCATATTTGATGTCATCTCTAATTTTAAGTCACGACAAAATGCCAGAGAACATTATCTATAAATGATCTCCTTTTTAAAAACCTCAACTGAAGTATTTTAGAAACTACATTTATCCCACAGAACAGAGATATATCTACCAACTACCTCTTTTAAAAGATAAGACTGACTAATTAAACACATGAAATCTGAGCACACAAAAATCTGCAGACTTTTATCCCATCATTGAATCTATTTTTTTACCAGTGTAAATTTATATTTACTCAGTTTTTAACCTAATTTCAGCAATATTATTGATATGAAAATACAGTTTGTAAAGTAATGATTTCTGTCTTCGAGTAGATATATTACATGAGAGACCTGCTTTGTTTACGAAATAAGTTGATCTAATTGGATTTGCATTGTAAACATTAAATACAAGTTAAAAATGTGTTAATTTTATGCCATATATTAAGGTTTTAGTTACAATACAGCCAAAATTATCCCGCATAATTTTTTACAAAATTCTCTGCAGAAATGGCAAAAAACGGCAAATTCTGTCTGACCCTAGCTATAAGCAAGCTTTCTTTGCATTATACATTATTCTCCAGTTTTAGGTCACTCTAAAATAACAGAACATCGTATTTAAATGATCTATGGTGCAAACCTTCGACTGGAGTATTTTAGAAACTAAATTTATCCCACAGAACAGGCATATTTACCAATAACCTCTTTTAAAGGATGACTAGTAGGCCCACATGGAATCTGTGTGAAAGAGGTAAAGTTGGTTTTATATTCACACATTCATTCATTTAGAAGTCTCTATATTGTTTACCATATTACTTTGAATATTCAATTGGAATTAGCATGCAAGTGTGGCTTGAAAACAATATTAACACTGTTTATTTGACTGTGAACAATGTTGTACTTTGATAGTCATTGGCTGCTAATATGATTTCACTGTTTAGAGTTTGCAAATAATACTTTTATGAAATTATTTTATTAAGGGGAAAGTCTGAATGTGCGAATATAAAACCAACTTTACCTCTATATCTGTGTGCGCAGAAATACCAAGAGTTACACAGATTTTGGCCCATCATTGAGTCTATTTATTTACCTGTGTAAATTTATATTTATTTCGTTTCTAAATTAATTTTAGTAATATTACTGACTAATATGAAAATGTTCATTTGCATTATTTACAAAACAGTTTGTAAAGCAATATTTTCTGTCTTTTAGTAGGCGACTTATATAAGAGAATTGCTTTGTTTACAAAATAAGGGAATCTAATTGGATTTGCATTGTTAAAAAAAGAGGCATTATTTTTTATTTCATATATTACGTTTTAAGTTATGATACTCCCAAAATCATTCCACAACATCATCAGAACAGTCTGCAGATTCTGTCTGGCCCTGCTAGTGAGTAGTTCTTGATGTTGTTTCATTTATTTTATAATTAATCCAGGGAAGTCCCAGAGTCAAACGTGACGTACATGTTTGTCATCACCATAGATACTAGGCCACTAGGCTAGGGCAAAGGTGAACTGATGGAGAGCTGTTTTATTTACCGCCAGCTTCCTATAATAATACCGTTAGATCAATTTAAGCAAACTATCGCCTTGTGTATATAAAAACCTCACGGGCGATTTCACATCATAGCCAAAAGAGCGTGTACTTAGTAAAAGTATGATTTAGCTAATTAACACTAGTCCGTTAAGTGTGTTATTTCTTGTTTATTGGTTTAATACGTTCCACAGAGCAAATACATGTATACTTTGTACAAGGCTAAACAAGCAAACACGGTAACCTGCTGTGGCTAACTGCACCGAGTTAACGGGATAATCTAGACGTTAACGTTACCAGGGTAACCGAGTTGACCGCTCACCTCTTTTGTTCTTCGTGCCGTTTTTCTTGGCCGTGACGAGCTCCTGCTCGATCTTCTTCTCCAGAAACTCCTGCTTCTTGGTCAACATTTCTTCAGTTTCTCGCAGTCGCTGGATTGCCTCCTGAGGGCTTGCAGATTTACCCCCTTTGCCACCGCTACCAAACATCTTCCCGAACAAAGACATGTTTCCCGTGGGTCGACAGCAAGGGCTGACAGGACGGTGGTTTTTGACACTAGGGTAGACTGGTCACCTCGGTGTGGCTTCTGGCTGTCACTGAACCCAACAGGCTTGTTGTTGTTTTCTGCTTCCTCTTCTCTAACCCAGGCCGCATGACATCATCACGTCACGGGAAAGTGAGTCACGTCATGACGTATAGAAATGTTTCCGCTCTGTCACGCTGTATTACAAATGTGAGGTGGTAGAAAATAATTTTTGGATATTTTAGGTATGATGATGTGAATAACGAAGTTTTTAATATTAATATATTAATTTTGTTGATTAAGCTTCATATTCATAAGTGTAAATTTTCCAAAGTCATGTTTTTTTTTTCTGTGCTTTTATAAAAAGTTGCTAAATTACTACAGTACTATTCAACATTGTACTAATAGAAAGGCAAATTAAACTGTACAGTTTGATTTGTTAAACAATAAAAAATTAAAACGAAAATTTTCAAATAAATCCATAAATAAATTCACCCAAATCCAAAACTCCTGCATAAATAAAATAATAGATAAATAAAGATGCAAATAAATAAATAAATCCATAAATTACAGCGTAAATAAAATAATAAATAAATGCGCAAATAAATAAATAAATACATGTATAAATAAATTAATAGAGTACTGTATAGATAAAATAACAAAAATAAATAATTATGCAAATAAATATATGTATATAAATACATAAATTACAGCATATATAAAATAATAAATACAAATACGCAAATAAATAAATAAGTGTATGAATAAATTAATAAATTACTGCATAAATAAAATAATAAATAAATATGCAAATAAACAAATGTATGTATATATCCATAAATTTATAATATTATTTATGCAGGAATTTATGGATTTATTTACTCATTTATTTATATATTTGCATGTTTATTTATTTATTTATTTATTATTTAAATTATGCAGAAATTTTTGGATTTATTTACTCATTTATATATATATATTTGCGTATTTATTTGTTGTTTTTGTAGGTTTTATCCTCCCTATCAAAATATTCGATAAATTTATTTGATTAAAGGTCGTGCTTGTCTATAATTATAAGGGTTTATTTATAAATTTTTACTTTCTTTCACCATTTTCACCATCATACATTTTTTTTAAATAGTAAATTTTTTTAAATAAAATAAATGTTTTAGGATTACTGATGTTACTAGCGAGCTTACTTTTTATTAAAATAAATTAATACTGTTTTTAGTTAAATTTATGCACAAAAGGATCACTGAACTCCTTTACCTAAACATGAAGTCCCATATTTTCTGTCATTGAGAACCTTAACATTTCAGGACCTGCTGACTAGAATTTCAAAAGGGAGAAAGAGAAACTTTTAGTATTCACTTTATATATTTTTTCTTCTATATTTATTATTATTATATTTTGAAACCTGCAAAAATAAATAAATAAATAAATAAATACGCAAATAAATAAACACATAAATAAATGAGTTAATAAGTCCATAAATTCCTGCATAAGTAAAACAATAAATAAATACATATGGAAATACATGAAAAAAATATATATATAAATCCATAAATTCCTGCATAAATAAAACAATAAATAAACACATAAGCAAATAAATAAATAAATAAATAAATATAAATCCATAAATTCCTGCATAAATCATTTTACAAATAATTAATATTGGGGGCAGATAAATTATTAAATAAATTTAAAAATCTAGGGGGAAAAAGAAATCAACTTTCAGTTCAGAATTTTCTTATTCTCCCAACATCCGTTTAATTTTTTAAATTATTTACCCCTGCCCACACTATTCATTATTTATATATTGATTAATGCAGGAATTTATGGATTTATATGTATTTATTTATGTATGTAGGCGACACAGTCCAAAGAAATGCGGTACAGGCGAATTGGGTAAGCTAAACTGTCCGTAGTGTATGAGTATGAATGAGTGTGTGTGGATGTTTCTCAGAGATGGGTTGCGGCTGGAAGGGCATCTGCTACGTAAAAACGTGCTCGATAAGTTGGCGGTTCATTCCGCTGTGGCGACCCCAGATTAATAAAGGGACTAAGCTGAAAAGAAAATGAATGAATGAATTAACAAAAAAGTGCAAGGTAAAAAGTAAGAGGCTGCGACATCTGTTACCAGATCTATTTTCAGTTGTCAGACACGCACATGAAAATATACTAAAGTAAGTGATAGTAAATACTGTAGTGTCTTATATATATATATATATATATATATATATATATATATATATATATATATATATATATATATATATATATATATATATATATATATATATATATATATACAGTTTTATTTATTTATTTATTGTTTTATTTGTGTGGATTTATTTACATATTTATTTATTAATTTTGTGTATTTACTTATTTATTTGTTGCTTTATGCAGGAATCCATGAATTTATTTACTCATTTACTTATTTATGTATATATTTGTGTATTTATTTATTAAAATGTAATGTTGCAAAAACACTTTTAACATGTAAAGAATTGTGTAGCATTCTGCTTGCATGACTTTTTTTTTATTTCTCATATTTCTCAAATTTCTTAAAGCTAAGACATTTTCAACGTCTTCTTTCTTCAAAATATATCTGCCTCAAAATAAGAAATTGAGGTTTTAAATTTGTGCTCGGTGATTGGTTAAAATCCAACACAACTATAATGATTGACGTGTTTGCCGGCCAATAAGTCTGTGCGCCGGCCTATGACGTAGATTCCGGCGGCCGTACAGGCCTTGTCCTCGTCCTTGATCAGCACGAACAGCAGCACTTGTCGGACGCTTGACGCACATTTACTCGGAAAAATGGTTGCTTATTGGAGACAAGCGGGTCTGAGGTATTTAAATGATCATTATTAATCAATTTAAAGAGAGCAGAGCAATTTGCGTTATAATATTCATGCGCTCTGCAGTCTGTGAAGCTAAATGTTCGCTGTAGAGTGCCTTTGACCTTACTGCTGTTTACCTTAGCATTAGCGCTATGTGTATCTTTTTAACACAGTGGATTAATTCAGATATACTAAAGTTAGCAGACAGTTCTGACGGTTATTCAGTAAGCTAATGATTGTGTTGTGTTTTCAGCTACATCAGGTACTCTGCGATCTGCGCAAGGGTCGTGCGGGCTGCACTGAAGCCGCAGATCAAAGCTGAGGCGATTAAAAACGCCGAGTCCAATGTGAGGGTCATCAAAGCCAAGACCACATAATGATGTGAGTTTAGATGTTAATATGAACTGTGCTACATAAGTGGAAACAGTGTTAGGTAATTAATTACTAATTACATTAATATAGACCATGGGCATGGGCTGGAATAAGATTCTGGCGGTATGATAACCTTGGATAAAAACAGCACAGTATAAATCATTTTGAGGGATGTTAGCAAAAACAATGGTCCCAACATATTTCCTATTATACATTTTTAATTCCTATAGCTTCCAAGAATCCAAAAAGAGCCACATATTGATAAATAATGTAATGATAGCTGTGTTAACGTTAAGTTATGATTGAATCGCCTCTTGTTACAGTTATTAAATAATTTCATAACAAGCAGGACATGTTCATGAGCCAATGACATGACCACATTGAAATGGTATTTAGTGATTACTGGTCTAAAATAAGTTCTTTTTAAATTTCTGGGTAAAAAACACCACCTTCCCCCCCATTTAACACACTATATTTTATTTTTAGAAACATCTACTATAGTTTAGACTAGTAGTTTTTGATGTAGAGGTTTCTTTTCTGCTGTTGCCCTAAAAAAAACATTAAAAATAGTTGTGAAAAACGTACAAACTAAAAAAAAAGAAATCTTACATATTCCTTAGGAATGGTATAAGAGAAAACTTTAGCGATTTTAAAACCTTGACTTTTTCAAACCGCAATAAATTCTGAAACTGATTATCATGCCTAATAGGCAAGGCACGTTTATTATAATTGTATTTAAATTACGTTACTAATTACTTTGAAAATTAACTGAATTACTCAATGAGGAATTTGATTGCGTGATTCAATACCAAACATCTCTGTACATCTCAATGCACATTCAGTTGATATATTAATGAATAAATCAAGACTAATATTTTGATGAATGTGACCTTTAGTTACAAAATGTGTGTAACAGAATTCTCTGAGTTGGGCGAAATGGCAAAAATGCAATCTCGATAATTGCTTTCCATATTGACTGATAACGATATACATTTCGATACAAGTTGCTTTCAGATTTAAGAGAACCCCAACAATGACTGAAGGTACAGAAATTAGAGGGTCCATGAAATGAAGTAACATATTTTCGGTGGCCAAAAATTTGGTACATCTTTTGTATCAAAACACTTCTAAATTCCCAAAGTTGAGCATTTATGCTGGGTGATTGGCACTTATATCAATATAGAGTAAATATTATAGTGTTTATTAGCCCAGTCCTACTCTGAATTTTATTCTTAAGAATATTTTATTTAATTATAGTCATTTTAACGATTTAATAATTAGACATTGCAATTAGAATGTGAAAAGGTATATCCTAAATAATAATAAACATTAACAAAAAAATGAAAGGTAAAAAGTAACAGAGGTTGCGACCATCTGCTATTAGATCTATTTTCAGTTCTCAGACACACATGAAAATATACTAAAGTAAATGATAGTAAATACTGTAGTGTTTTAAGACCATACTGACACCTCCAGTAGACATAGAAATGTTGCACAATGAGCTAAAATGTTGTTAGAATTGGTTTTTATGTATAGAGGATGTATATTGTGTTACCAAAAATGATTGAGGACATACCCATGTGCTGTGTGATAAGTCAAGAGATAAGAGTTCAGATGCAAAACCCTCTAAATCCACCTGACCTCTTTTCTTGTAAAAGAGCTTTTTTTTTTTATCAGGCTCCTCTGATTAGGTTCAGAACGTTTCATGTTATAGGCAATAAGGTTATTAGCTAGTAAATAAAATTGCTTTTTTCATAAATGTCACTTAAACTCTGCGGACCCAGTACCGGGTCCGTAACCTCATCGATTTTCGCTATAAGATTTAAAGGGCTAGCATTGCAACAGACCCCCATAAGTGGTTTTGT